GAGCGAGTTAGTTAGGCTGGTGCGCCTGTGATACAGCTGTTCTGCGTTCTGATTAAAAGTTAAGACAGAGCGTCTTTTGTCTGTCGTTCTTCAAACATTACAGTAGACATATTTTGGTTTACAAACTGTATCGTTTCATCAGTTAGTTACGTTAGCACTCGGCTAACGTATCCACCATTATTGTTTTAAGTGTTTACAGTTTAGCAGCTAAACTTTAGCTGTGGACCCGATTTGCTTGCATAAGTGTTTTTGTATTTTATGTCATTATTTTAAGAAAGGATTGGAGCACTATATTATTGTTTTATGTAAAGGTGCTTTGTCAATGGTAGCACTTGCTAACTTGCTCAAGGACTCCTCTCTGTGCCAATCACAACAGGCTTGGCCAGCTGACCAATCAGAGCAGAGTAGGCTTATGGAAGGGAGGGGTTTGCTCTGAACTTGCTTGGAACGAATCGTTTCGAAATCATTGACAAATGACTCTAATATTAAATGTATATTCTGAGAAAATTACAATATTTTCTGACCTTATCATTGCCAAATGACTCTAATTTTAAATGTATATTCTGAGAAAATGGCAATGTTTTCTGACCTTAGATGCATTTAAACCTGTTGTAGAGGACTCCAACACAATATTAGCACACTATAAAATATTATATGACCTGGTCTTTAACAAAAAAGGCAAAGTTGTGCTTTACGTAATATTTCATTTTATTATTCATACTAGGGCTGCACGATATTGGAAAAAACTCACATTGCGATATATTTATTTTCTGCAATATATATTGCAATATGAAGGAAAAAAAAAAACACCAGATGACTTGAATAGCTCTATTTGGAGAAATAAAATCAATGATTGGGGTGATTTTGTAGGTGAGTAAATCAGCATAGGAAATAAACAAATTACAAGCATAGATAAATATAACAGAACAAAGATACAAATGAAATAAACAGTGCTTTGTATTTTTAAGGCAAGTCTAACAGTATTCAGGTACACAGGTTGAATAATCAAATGTAAAACAACACAGCATAGTCTTCACTGTACAAATTAAACATAATAAATCTTTGTTTAAGCTACAAAAGTGATTGTTCTGTGTGTTTTGTTGTTTGATTACCATGACACAGAAAGCAACAGGGACATTAAACTGCTGTGAATATATTGTTATCCTCTTTCTTTCTCAATTGTTTACCTTCACCTAAGCCATAAGCAACTGTTTTTACAAGGATACTTGCAGAGACATGCATTTTGACAAATTCGGCCATGTGTCATTTCAGGCACAAATAGTAGCGGAAGTGAACGGAATTCAGAGTTCACGTGCATCTGCGTGGCTCTCACCGTGTCTACACCGGACACGGTGCGACGCGACAAAATACTATAGAACCCATTGTAATCAGTGATGCTGTGTGACTGACTACACTGGATGCGGCGCGACACGACAAATCCCCGACAGTAAACTGATGCCGCGTTCTATCAATAGTATCTCCGTTCTATTTATGACGTACTGACACAAAGTTCAAATGATTTGCAAAGGTTGCTTTGTCGCATCCAGTGTACACAGACTTTGGGGCCGTTCACGTCGCGCCTAAAAACGCGTGGAAAACGCCAGTCGCGCTGCTTTCTCCTTCTTTCCAAAGCGCTCGGGAGCTTGCGCTTTCGTGGTGTCTGCCGTTGCTAAGCGACCGTGACCTGCGCTCTCCAAGACGATGCGGAAGTTTCAATAAAGGATAAATGGATTTACAGCACTGAAAATCGCTTGCAGTAGCTCTGATACTAAATGTATTTAAAATGGGTATCTCTGTACAGCTGTCGCATCCGGTGTAGACAGTGTCTGTGTGTGAACAAAGAAAACGATCAGTATAAATATAACGATCCGTATACTAAACAGTATAGTCTTTGCTCTAAAGCGCCTCCTGCTGTCAGAGAATGAGCCTGTCTACAGCAACATGTTTTTGTTGTTGCTCACCCTTTTTTCTGTTTTCTGCTCTTTTGATATTCTTTATCCTGGCTGAAGCACTTTTGCTTCAATCTATAAAAATTATCAGCCTATGTTATAGAGTAAACGTACCTATTAAGCTCACGTACCCATTAAGCACACTTCCATTTTTGAGATCAGATTATAATCAATTTATCAATAAATTCAATATACACTATAGGGGTGCTACCAGTCAGATTAAATAATTTACACTGCAAATAACAATAATAACAACTGCAATAAATAATGTTATGAGATTAATGTTTTAAATGCATTTATGAATATACAAATAAGAAATGTTGAGGGGAAAAATGCATACTTTTCAACAAACTTCTCAGCTGAACTACCAGTAAGTGGCGGTAAGTCATTGAGTCATTGAGTCATTCATTCAACTGATTGAGTGTGTTATCATGCTGGTATCTTAAGGACTTCCGTGGACCGCTGACTCCTGATAGAAATTAATCCTTTCCAGTAAGTTTAAATAGATTTTTACCTTTTATAGGCATTTTGCCTTTATAAAGACATTTTATTGGTGTGTATTTAGTGTGCATTATCTTTTGAGTCAAATTCTTACATTTAATCAGTGAATTAGAATAATAAGACATTTGGGCTGTTACCAAGCAAATGAAATCAGTATCAACAAAATTCATCTTTTCAATCCAGACGTAAACTGCACCTGAAGTAGCATTTAGAAGTATTTACATTTACATCTGCATTATGTGTAATGCAGAACATGAATGCATTTAACCTGCAGTTACAAATGCATAAATCATGTTTTAATATATTAAACATAAAATGTTGAATACTGATATTTGAAATGATTTAAAAAATAAAAAGATACTTTAAATGTGAAATTAAAACCGCCAGTAGGTGGCAGCAAGTCACTGTTAATAAGTGAGTCACTGCGATTGAACCGAATCATTTTAAATGGTTGATTCATTCAGGAACAAAATGTCATGTTGCTCAAAGACGCAAAACAGCGCCGTCGCTTTGTTTGGAATTATTTTTGTTGGTGAAATAGAGCAAAAACAGGCAATATGGGTGTCTAAGACTTAAGTCTCTTAATAAAACTTCTAGTTTACTGAACTGTTGTAAAAAATCAATATCACATTTGTATATGGTAATTTTTGGAGAAAAAAAAGGCTGAAGTGATATTAAGTGGTATAAATATACACATTTTCTGCCCCCATGTCTCGGATTTGTGATCATTCTGAATGTATTTGAATAGACTGAATCATGCAGTGAAAGAGCGCACTCTAAATGCGCACGCGCATTAGACTTCACGTAATGGGTGCACTCTGTAGGTGTTTTGAATGTTTTTTTGCATCGTGAGAATATTGAGCAATAGCTCACTCACTTGTCATGGTGTTACTTAACTATATCATGTTATGAATAAACTAAACATTTAGAATTTTTACCTCAGTGTGTTTCTTTTGAGTTTATGTGTGCTGTTATGCTCATTTGTTCTGAAGTCTCTCACAAAGAGACAGAGTAAGCCTCAGCGCTACCTTGTATTCTGTATTCTGCTAACTTACTGCAATTCTCTCTGATGATGCAGACACGGACTCCCTGTATACCTCCTATAATTTCAAGTCAATCAGATCATTGCACACGGAGATATGGGTCTCCGTATGTTCACACTGTCTGGCGGCCATTTTGAAAGTTGTCTAAAAACTTTCACCAAAAGAGGAGCCCCTTAAATGTGCGTTTTTTAGATGTTTAAGCCTTTATTTTGGGTAAATTTCACTACTTATTGTAAAATTAAGAGATTAATGTTCAGACTATTGCACCAGACTTTTGCATATTATATAACCTAGAACTTGGATGCGGGAAATAATTACATTAGATCCAAAAGAGTCTTAGCAGCATAGTGCAGATGC